TTGCAATCGCTGCACTGCTCATCATTGAGGCGGCTATGGATCCGGCGGCTATCCCGCCGCTGGTAAATCCCACGACTGTTAGAGCGACAGGGGCTAAAGCAACAGCCCCTACCGCGCCGATGACACCTCCGACTATCATCGGAATTCCTGAACTACGTCGTGGACCTGAAAAGAAAGATTCATGAATCATTTAAAATGTGTAATGAATAAAACATTAATTCATTAATAATCAAATAAGAGGTCAGTTAAAATAAAAATAATTTAGCTTATTAATCAGATAAGCAATAAATAAGAAGAACTGAGTTAATTCATAAATTTTAGAATTGAGCCGTCATGTTGCAGGTAAAGCCTGTCTGAGTGCTTGTTAGCTTTACATTAAATCAGCTCATAGGTTAAAATGAAGTTTTTGCGGACACAAATGTGGTTCACTAGACAGCAAAGCTGACAAATATACACTTAACACAAACAAGAATAATTACCGTTAATGTAAACCGGTCATGCTGATTTTGAAAGCAACCTGCATTTTTACTAAACGAAGCTACTCAGCCACAGTAAAGTAAAACTAAAATGCGGTATTGAAGTTATGGGGCGAATGTCACTTAAACAGTTAAAAAGCGAAATAATCACAATAATTTTAAACCGATCATCATGGCGATGTTTGAAAGCAACCTGCCTATTTACCAAACAAAGACACTCAGTAAATTTAAAGTAAAACAAAAATACAGTTTGGCAGTTCTGGGGCTAATGTAATAGAAATTTTGGAAAAAAAATTACCGTTCATGTAAACCGATTATGCCAAATTTCGAAAGCAACCTGTCTCTTTACCAAACAAAGCTAAACAAAGCTATTCAGTTAATATATTTAGCTAATGAAAAATACGGTTTGGCAGTTATGGGGCGAACGTCATGTGTCGGGCAGCGACGTCGACGGCGACAGAAAAGGCGACAATACGGACAAACACCCATCAAAATATACAAATTGTTTCACTGCAAGGTTGATATAAATTATTAAAATTCCAGCTGGAAAAGGATTTCGGCTTTTCACACGGAAGTATTACAGTAGGTCTGGATATATATATATATATATATATATATATATATATATATATATATATATATATATATATATATGGATGTGTGTGTCAGAGGCAAAACTGAAATCTTGGCAGATTTGAAATCCACCTAGGCCAGAATGAAATTTCAATCTAGGCTAGATGAAAATCTGCATTGTCAAAAAATTACACAGTCTGAAGTTGACACGGTAACCTATCACAACTGTTATCTTACTGATGCCTTAGATCACAACCCTTATCTTTTTCACCAAATTTTTTCCTCACCTTATTGATGAAGTATGTTAGTACCTAAGATCAAAGACTAATTTCTTGGACTGTTTTATTGATTTTTGCACTCCTGGCTGATCTGTTATCTGCTTTACAGCAGGAAACGTAACCATTATCTCATAACTTGATCATTTGCAGTATCAGACAAGGAGCACAGAATCTTCATACATGTAGTGTATGTCAAATTCAACAAGGCATAGCCGCATACTGACTGAGCCAAAGAACCCCTATGTAACCCTCCATATAGAAAGACTGTTTAAAATGATGTTCTTAACCACAGATTATATGACTGAAATGGCTTGGCGTGAGCAGACGGGATATGAAATAATTTATCCCCCCCCCGCATACCTGTAAGTGCTAACTATAGTAAAGATGATATTACTTTTATACAAGTACAAACGTTGATTGTGTTCATTACATCTAGAACACGAAGTGAAACACATAACTTATATATCTGCAGTGGAACTGCAGCTACCACAGAAACCCAATAAAGAGGTGCATTTCACATGAAAATTATATCATAAAATTAAATTGAATAAATTTGAAGTTGTATTTAGTTTATTTTAATATGTTTTAAAAAACATACATGTGTATAGAACGAAATCCACGACCGTCTCAATTTTACATCTACATCTTTAAATTAAAGTTTTTTCCTCGTCTATAGTAATACATTATGTAAAGAGCCTCAATGGTAACTTATGTGACGGGGCATATGATTTTGATTTATATATCGCGTTCTGATATATTTTGTAGTGATTCAGTTATGGTAAATAATATATATGACTGAAAAAAAAATTGTGATTCCAATATAGTTCGACATTTCTGATATAATATTTGGACCACGAATGGATATTATTTTTAAATGATTATTTTACTGTCAGTAGAACGTATTTCCCCTCCTTTAGGCTTTACACAATATACAGTGACAAGCAAACTTAAGTCGCTCAAAAATTAACTGCTCTATACAGAAGATTATTATAATGTTGACGACGTTATACTTTTAGGAGATAAATTAAAGAACAAAACCAGTGATGACTGAATTTTCGAAGTGAGTAAAAAGTTACCACAGCTAGACGTTTTGCAATTGTGACAGTTTTTTGGGTAAGACGTTGCGTTTTTTTTTTTTTT